AATCATCAAGAAAAGTAACATATGATGAGACGAGACAACATCCAGCGAGTCCTTGTCGTACCAACCATCAAGAAAAGTAACATATGATGAGACGAGACAACATCCAGCGAGTCCTTGTCGTACCAACCATCAAGAAATGTAACATATGATGAGACGAGACAACATCCAGTGAGTCCTTGTTGTACCAACCATCAAGAAAATGTAACATATGATGAGACGAGACAACATCCAGTGAGTCCTCATTATACAAATAATCAAGAAAAGTAGTATTTGATGAGACGAGACAACATCCAGTGAGTCCTCATTGTACCAATAATCAAGAAAAGTAGTATTTGATGAGACGAGACAATATCCAGTGAGTCCTCATTATACAAATAATCAAGAAAAGTACTATTTGATGAGACGAGACAACATCCAGCGGGTCCTACTAGATGGTCAAATAGAAAGGAAAAGATACAGACCAAGAACAGAGTGGATAACAAATATTAAAGAGTGGACTGAGATAGTAAACTATGAAGACCTGGTACAGAAGTAGAGGATTGTGAGAGCCAACCTTCCTGAGGAAGACGGTACATGATGATGTATAATTAAAGTCTTAAATTTCACGTGTGGTTTTGTGCTTGAAGTGTCACGTGTGTTTTAGTACACTACATTTACTAATCGATATCTGGTATTATGTAACTTGTCACATCCATACTCGTGGTTAACTCTAATCTTTAATCAACTTCCCAACTTACCACCTACTCTCAGATAGCCTGTTGTAGAACATGTTCCGAAACAATTTGTGGCCACACATGTGTACTGTCCTGTGTCAGAAGGCTTGGCGTTGAAGATCTCCAGGCTGCATAACCCAAAGTCATACTGTGAAATACACAACATAAAAGTTTTCACACCTGAAATCAGAATTAGAGAATTGGTTCAACTTCAGGTGAGTTATTAATACGTAATGTAAATTACGTAATGTAATATGTAAACTATTCAATAAGCATATTTCATAAGCTCTAATAGCAAAGCAGTCGTCATTACCCCAGTCACAGAGTATTGATCATAATCTGTCGTCATACAGCATAGATCATAATCTCTATCCACACAACATAAATCAATCTCTATTCACGCAGCATAGATCATAATCTCTATTCACACAGCAAAGATCATAATCTCTATTCACACAACATAAATCAATCTCTATTCACACAGCAAAGATCATAGTCTCTATTCACACAGCATAGATCATAATCTCTAATCACACAGTAAAGATCATAGTTTCTATCCACACAACATAAATCAAGCTCTATTCACGCAGCATAGATCATAGTCTCTATTCACACAGCATAGATCATAATCTCTAATCACACAGTAAAGATCATAGTTTCTATCCACACAACATAAATCAATCTCTATTCACGCAGCATATATCATAGTCTCTATTCACACATTAAAGATCATAATGTCTATTCACACAGCAAAGATCATAGTCTATATTCACACAGTAAAGATCATAATCTCTATTCATACAGCATAGATCATAATGTCTATTCACGCAGCATAGATCATAATCTCTAATCACACAGTAAAGATCATAGTTTCTATCCACACAACATAAATTAATCTCTATTCACGCAGCATAGATCATAATCTCTAATCACACAGTAAAGATCATAGTTTCTATCCACACAACATAAATTAATCTCTATTCACGCAGCATAGATCATAATCTCTAATCACACAGTAAAGA